TGTACCAAATATAGTACCATTTAGTACACATAAGTACTATATTTCCATATTTAACTTTTCAGCTTTCTCCGTCCACCCAAATCCAAATGTAACCAAATCTAGTGCCCTTCAGTACTTTTCGTACACATATATACGAATTTCTAAAGGTGAATCTATGGCTCAATCCTCAACAGTAATCTTAGTTCCAAATTTCAGGTTTTCAGCTCTATCCGTTCAGCCAAAATCCGAAATGTACTAAATTTAGTCCCATTTAGTACTTTTTGTACACATACATACTTTAATCCTACGCTCTAACAGCCATTTTTATTTACAATTTCAAAAATCCAGCCTAAATCCTGTATGTACCAAATTTAGTACCATTTAGTACTTTTCATACACATAAGTACGAATTTCTAAATCCGAATTCTAGTTTTTCCCGTTTACCATATTTAGTACATTTTAGTATTTTTCGTACCATTCTGGTTCGAATTTCCAAAAACGCAGCCTTATCTCACGACTACACCCACACTCAAAATTTCAAGCTTCATCCGTTTCGTCTGAGCGATGATCTGGCAGTCACTCCTCGTTATAAGCGATTTGGACTATATTTTTGTTAATACCAGTAAGGTAAGTCGGACGGATCCAACTATATAATACACCTCACCACGTTGAGTATATCTAAATGATGCATCTTTATAGGCATCGCATTTTTGAAGAACCATTAACATGAAATTGGATGCACTAAAATATTTAATCCTTACCTAAATGTGAACCGATCAATGATCAATACATAAACATGTCATTCTGCAACCCATACTAAATTTTTCATTTAGACCACTAAAAAGTCGTTTGTATACAATGGAGCAAATAATTTAAACCGCAAATCTCAATCGAAGATCCCTTGATTATTTGGAGTTCAATTAATATGAAGTCGGTCGAAAATATATGTGGGTTATGGCTGTGTTTCTACAAAACGTATTTAGTACCATCCGTCTAAAATTACACCTTGTGGGAATAATTGTTACAAACTCAAAATAAGTGCGATTTGAAAATAATTTTATATTTTTGGCGTTTCTTCTGATTTTCGAGTTTTGGTTTATTCCGAGGCTTAGGGGTGAAATTTTATGACATACAATTTTGTAAAAAATTCTGACCTTATAAAGCCCCGTTATAAATGAGTTTTAAAGCATGCCTTGACATGCCCTCAGCGAGTCGACTGAGAATTAAAGATTCTACGTTTTTCTGAATGGCTGGATACAAATACGAATCTTATTAGCCCCTGTTGTATAGTCGCTTGAATGGAACTGGCACGTTTGGACCTATATTCCTAGTTATATAAGTCAGTTTCAGAATAGTATATATTCGGTAAATTTGTAGTTCGGGGTTTTATGCCCTTCAACACACTGTGGTACAGGGTATTATGTCTTTGTGCATATGTTTGTAACAGGCAAAAGGAAACAGGATAGACACATGGTTTCTTTTGAGAATATGCTAAAATCACTTTCTAAGTCGATTTATGCATGTCCGTCCATCTGTCCGTCTATCGGTCCATGTTAAATTGTAAACAAAGTACAGGTCGCATTTATGATTCGAATTGGCTCATTTATTTGGCTCAACGAAGAACCCTATTGAATTTGGGAAAAATCGGTTCAGATTTAGATATAGCTCCCATATATATTTTCGGCCGATTAAGGGTAAATAGTGCACCAAAGAACCTAAATATCTTTCGATTTCTACGAAATTTGGAACAACGTACTGAAATAAGTCTAGAATGATGTGTGCCAAGTTTCATGAAAATCGGTTCAGATTTACTTATAGCTCCCATATATGCTTTCGTCCGATTTAAGGTAAATTGTGCACCAAGGTCCCTAGATAGCTTTCGATTTGCATGAAATTTGGTACAACGTACTGAATTCAGCCTAGAATGATGTGTGTCAAGTTGCGTGAAAATCGGTTCAGATTTAGATATAGCTCCCATATATATATTTTCGTCCGATTTATGGTAAATGGTGCACCAAAATCCCTATATATCTTTCGATTTGCACAAAATTTGGCACAACGTACTGAATTTATCCTAGAATGATGTGTGCTAAGTTTCATGAAAATCGGTACAGATTTAGATATAGCTCCCATATATGTTTTCGTCCGATTTTATGTAAACGGTGCACCAAAGTCCCTATATAACTTTCGATTTGCACGAAATGTGGCTGTGGCGTACAGAATTGAGTCAGGAATGATGAGTGGTAAGTGACATTATTGCGTTTTGTTGAAATTGGTGCAAATGTAGCTAGTTTTCAGATGAATTTCGAACAGGTGTCTGATTGAGCTTACATTTTGAACAGTTCGACGTACCGAATAGCGTGTATCAAGGCATGAGTATGTTCATTCAGGGGAAACATTGACATGTAGTTTTAAGGGTACATATGTACAATATACCCTTCACTGCTTTCCTTACTGGTTTCTTAATATTAATATTATATGGTTTAATATTAACATATGAATCACCCTTTGTGTTAAGTCGAGACTGCATTGCCAATTTTTAAATTTATGAAATCATCTAGAAATATGCAAAATATGTATATAAATGAAAAGCTGTTGACGTTTTGTATTGTCGAAAATCGTGCTGCAAAAAATACGAGGAAAAGGAAGAAGCAAAACTATTATTTCCTTTCAAAATTGCATACAAATTTCACAAAATCACATCATTGCAATGGTGAAAATATATCCTCCACACAAAGCAAGAAAACCTTAAACTTGAACTAAATATGAATATTTTCAACAACATCATCTTCATACACACACGCACAATATTTCAATTGAGAGTAAGAGAGTGGTAAAGTATTACCAAAGAGTACGAAAAACGGAAGTTTGGTTCTCTTTTATGGTTTGTTATTTGGGGGAGACCAAATTCACCACTCTAACAAAACGAGAACGTGCATTTACGATGTTGTCTCTCGTTGATGTTACGAAGCTGACGAATACGGTGACCCGGCACTCACACAACCACCACAACCAAATGTGAAGTTCTATTATGTGATAGGGCAATGAAAGAAAAAAAAAACCGTAAATATGCCGAACGAAGCATATCCTTAAGCAACGAAGGCAATGACAATTCAGTTAAATGTTGGATTTACAGATAAACGGACCGAAGCGGAAATTATAGACCAACAAAAGCGTTTAAACGAAAATAAAGAAAAATAAAAAAACAACAGAAAATAGGGAATTCAATTGACAGAATCGTGTTGTGGATAAATGTGGACGCGTAGCAATTTTTGTTTTGTAAAGAAAATTTTGTGAATGTGCGATTTTGTAATGAAAATAATTGTTTAAAAAATTTTAAAAATAAATAGTGTTGTTTTTATATAAATTTATTTGTGTATGTGTGAATTTGTGTAAAATACCGGAAGTGTAATTTCGAAGCGGGTTTTTATTTTGAAACCCTGTCGGCATTTCAAAGTCATTTCTTTTAACATTTGAAATCCACCGAGTCATTGTCTAATGTTGTAAAAGGCTTTCATTAACACCACCACAGGCTAAAATACACAACATCCATTGCCACCCATCATACATCTTAATTGGAGTATTTGTTACTCCCACCAGCCGGTTTGCCTGCCACACTGCTCTGCGGGTCTCTCTGTGTGTGTGTGTGGGTCTCGTGCGTGCCTGCCAACCAATGTTGCATTGAAAACCACTTCTAATGCATTTTATGTCAATTTGAGTTAATGTTTACATGCTGTTGTTTTAACATTCAACATTTTCTGAGCCACCATCCTCCACCGCACCGAACCATACAGACAAACAACTACCCATAAATCTACAAGCTAGACAAACTTTTAAGGAGAACTCTCTATATTTTTATGGTATTTGGACAAGTTGAAGGCAAAGGGATCGCTGCAATATCAAATGGCTGTATTAAAACCGCACCATGTTGCCGCACATATATGAACAACAAAAACAAGAACAACGACAACATCAACAAAAAAGGAATCTACATTAGCAATAGCAGACACGTTTAGACAATGTTGAACAACAACAACGACAGCAACAACTACAGAGGCAATGTTGTTGCCTGACTTTTTTCAAGGAAATAATACCAACAACAACTACAACACAAGTTACCAGTCTATCAGTACCGGGACTCAGGATGATGATGGTGATGTTGAGGATGCTGATGTTGGTGGTAGTGTTTCTATGGCATAGCTAGCTCATAGTGGTGGTAATGGAAAGAAAGGACAATGTTATTATGGCAAACATGCACATGTTGCCATTTTGCCTTGTTTGTGCAACGTAATACAACAACAACACTAACAGCAATAAAGACATCAACGATTTGGCATAAGCAATCAGGCTGCAACTGCAACTCGAACATCGATGAACTTTAAAGGCCCAAAGGCTTTAAGTTTTTGGCTGCAGAATTGCCTTTGGAACAAATGAACATAACCTAAAAAAATAACTAACGAACAAACTGGCAAATCATACCAACGAAACCGAAAATAAAAAACTTAAAAAAAATCGAAAAAATAGTAATAAAAAATCCCGTGCAACAAAAACCAATTTGAATCCAACCCACCAAACAATAGCCCACTTCAATTTTTATTCTTGTTATTTCAACACCAACGGGGAACAAGAATTTTTTGTCCGTCGTCTCCTACTTCTCCCATACGTTTGGTGTATTGCATTTTTTTCTTCAAGTTTTTTTCTATATACAAAACTATATATTTTATACTTCTTCTTCGCTACGCTTGCCTGCCAGCCAGCCAGTATTTCTATAACAAATAAGATCGGCAAAACTTAAAACCCCAAAACGCCAAAAGTAAAAAGAGCATAACAAAATAACAACAAAAAAAGTGGAGAAAGCAAAGCAAAAAATTGTTGCAACATTATTTTTACTTTCTGACAAGTGAAACGTCATAATAATCGTTTATTTTTTTACAAAAAAAGCCTTGCCAAGCATTAAGGCTCTGCTGCATATTTATTCCTACTACCACTTCGTCTACTTCCACATCATTCTGCGATACGAATATCAACAGCCGTTTGCTGCAACAACAACATAATGTCATCGTGGTGCCCTTCAGGATTAATCGCTTATTCAGCCATCGTTTTACTTTGTACTTCCGGTAAGTGAAAACTTCATCATCATCATCATCGTCATAGTTGTCGCTTTTATTCCAGTTCGGTTTCTTTTTTTTTCTGCTACCAACCAAATTCCCATTTCCATGTTCTTTTATAAAGAGTTTACCCTACTGCCACCACCGCCAGCAACAACAACACCATCACAATCACCACCACCACTAACAGCAACAACGACATCAACTCTTCATCAGCTCCACTACTCAACAATCCTCATTGACATCAACATTCGTTGATGGTGTCTTTGTATTCGTACCACTAGACGTTTCTGCTCTTTTTGTGTGTGGCATCTGCAGTAGTAGTGGTGTTGATGGTGTTGGTGATGATGTTGTTGTTGGCATGGTGCACATTTGATATTGTTGTTGATTGGGATGCAACGAAGGCAGTATGTTTGAGAATTGTTCTAGAAAAGAAAGAAATAAAATCTCTGGGACTCAAAAAGTTCCAACAATTCAGATCTCGTACATACAAAATATGCAAGGTCCTTTTCAGAAGTTGATGAAACTGTCCGAATTTTTAAATAATTACTTTTCATTATCACGACTGGATTCGAGATTACCGGTATATATATTTTGCAAATGTATAAAAGTGTACAATATTATGACCCTTGTCATATTTAAAGATATTTGGCTTATGCTCCTAATTGAAATAGCATTTTTAGAACCAAGCTTCGTATGACCAAATTAGAAAATATTATGGGAGTTTAGTCATTCTTGCTTGGATGATGTGCACGATAACTCAGAAAAAGATTACAGGGTTTTAACAGGGTTACAGGGTTTTAAAAATGGAAGTAAACAAAGAGAGCCAGTAAGGAAAGTAGTAAAGTCGGACGGGGCCGACTATATGATACCCTTCACCACTATGGGTATATTAAACAGGACTATTAACATGAAAGTGGATGAAGTAAAATATGTGATATTTATCTAAATGTGAATCTAACTAGATCTATCCATAAAGTATGTAAATCGACTTCAAACAAATATAAATAGGTCATCCGTTGGGCTATGTCTGTACATCTAGAAAACGCAACTACGTAATTTTATGCTCAATTTTGTACGTTGTGCAAAATTTGATGTTAATCTGACTAACATGAGGAGAATGATGCCCAATTTACTTGAAATCAATCTATAATAAAATGGAGCTATATATAAATTTGGACCGATTTTCACGACATAAGACAGACATCACTCTAGGCTCAATTCAGTACGTCATGCCAAATTTCGTGCAAATCGAAGGATATACAGGGACTTTGGTGCACCATTTACAAGAAATCGGACGAAAATATATATGGGAGCTATATCTAAATCTAAACCGATTTTCACGAAACTTGGCACACATCACTCCAGGCGCACCCCAGTACGCTATGCCAAATTTTGTGCAAATAGAAATATATATAAAGACTTTGGTACACCATTTACATTAAATCGGTCGAACATATATATGGGAGCTATATCTAAATCTGAACCAATTTTCAAGAAATTTTACACACATCATTCTAGACTCAAGTTAGTACGCTATGCCAAATTTCGTAGAAATCGAAAAATATATAAAGACTTTGGTACACCATTTACATTAAATCGGTCGAACATATATATGGGAGCTATTTCTAAATCATAACAAATTTTTCCCAATTTCAAAAGGGTTCGTCGTTGGGCCAAGTAGAAGAGCTGAGCCAAATTTCATCCAATTTGGATCATAAATGCGACCTGTACTTTGTTTACAATTTAACATGGACAGACAGACGGACGGACATACATAAATCGACTCAGAAAGTGATTCTATGCATATCCTCAGAAGGAACCATGTGTCTATCTCGTTTGCAAAAAGACATAATAACCTGTACAACAGTGAAGGGTATAAACAGCAAAAAAATTTATAGCGAAATGTCACCCTTCCAAAAGCATAAATCTGAAATTTGATCGATACTTTACGAGAAATTGGGCAATAGCGCATCAAAAATACTTAAATACTTAAGGGAAACGCTTCAATAATACTTAGAATCATTTTAGAAATGTATCCGAGGGTTATGTAATTGTAAATTGTGTGCTAGATGTTTTATCCTTTCAAGTTTCAGTCAGAAAATTGGGCTAACATCTTTAGTAAAAAAAGTTTTTTTACCCAACTAGAAACCGAAACGCCAAATTACAGCACCTTTGTTTGAAAAATGTGTCTAAGATCATGAAAATACTTAAAACATGATATTATATGAGTTTAAACGCAAAACTGAACATATGTTGAACAATTTTTATAAAAACAAAGAAATGTTTCCCACCATGAAGCTGGAATGCCAAATAACATAGCCTTGAAAATCAGAAATGGGTTGGTACAGTTAGTTTGCCGACCCTGAGCTCTTTTAAAAATATTTCGCGATCTCCGGCTCCGGTTCTGCGGTTCCTTCACTAAAGTTGCTTAGAATTGCCCATAGATTTATTGTAGAGCTGGATTTAATCGACAAACAATTTGTGCTGATGCAGATCGCTTTAACTGGATTTGTATGTAACTAACACAATATTTGTACCGGTTTTAATGAACCTATTGGAATTATATGTATACCATTTGTAATCTGAAAATAGAGTTAATCACATGGGATAAATTATCCTCTTAACATTTAACTAAATCTTATTAACTGGCATATGCTTCATATTACGAAGTTCCTGATTTTAAGTATATGCAGTTGTTTTTGGTTAAATCATCATCATAACCATGATTCATTCGCAGGCATTCGCAAATTCTTGAAGATATGCCTTTTATACTGACTGTTGTTTGTGATGTATTTTGTAGTTCATGGAATAAGGGACTATGCCAAAATTCTGACGTGGATCCTCTTCCAACGAATCATCACCGAATATTATAGTTCATGAAACTTTTCACGTTATTCAATTTATACATATTTGCCTATAACTCCAACATCAGACTACACCTCAATGTGTTGGATATTAATTAAAAGTCCAAGCACTTCTCTTGGATAAAATTTCAACTTATCCGGTCGATGTCCTTTATAAACCGTAGAATGCAAATTTCGCCATTTTCCACACAAAAGTATCTATACGGAACCTCATGTCTATATCGACTCACTTAGTCGACATATGGCGATAAAGGTGGGTCTAGGACCAATATTTCGCGTTGTGGGCCACACAAAGCTGTAATACGCTTATTGCATAGATATGTATGATATTCAAATAATTATCTACACTTCACGAATGTTTTGAAGATTTTTTGACTTTATAATATTCCGATTTTATATTAATTCAGACATTTTTAATATCATTTTTCTTATAGTCTCTCTTCACGCAATAAAGCCAAACCATGATATCGCTCGAAATGTACTTTTCTATAATCATCTTAGAATTTATACAAACAACTCCAATATCTTCCATTACACCCTAATATTTTGAGTGCGGGTAATATTGACAACAAGTATATTCATGCTTTTGAACTTTCTCCTGGGTATATGGGAGCACATTTTTTTTTGCATTTGATTGTGTATGTGCTTTCAGTATTTTTTTATTTTATTTTTTTAGTTCATTCCTTTTCACTGAATTGCATTTCAATGTTATTCAATATACTTTGAATAAAATGTTAAAGAAGAACAAGATGAAAATTTTGGCAAAACCGAGAAAAACACATACACACACAGCCACACAAATGCATTTTATTAAAGTGCTTATTTCAATAGACATAAGTTTAAAAACATTGATCTTGTAGTTGAAGTTGAAAATTGGATTTTTTTGTATTAAACTTTATGCCATTAAGAAGTGTTTGTTAAATTAATGGGCTACATAGGAGGCAGTAGCTGTGTTTTTCTTATGTTTTCAAACTGAAAGTTGATACTAGGAATTCTAAGGGGATAAAATACTTCATGGTAGGTCCAAAAAGAGCCTCCCATATAACAGTAGCCTTGAATATTCGGTATTTTGGATTGACTGTAATTTGGGATCTCATTATGTAGCAAATACAAAAATCCATATTTGCTCACTTTATAGGGTAAATTCAAAATTTCTGACATTAGCACGGTTTTCAACCAAATAAATGAGTAGAAAATTAAAAAAAATCAGTATTGGCCCGTGATTTATGTTACGATTCCTTCCAGTATTCGGTACCAAAAATTAGAAGTGCTAGTCTACGTTTTCGTATAGGTTCAAATATCTGTTCCGCCCTATTTATACCCTTCACAACACTGTGGTACTGGGTATTATGTCTTTGTGCATATGTTTGTAACAGGCAAAAGGAAACGAGATAGACCCATGGTTCCTTTTGAGAATATGCATAGAATCACTTTCTGAGTCGATTTACGCATGTCTGTCCGTCCATGTATTTTTGTTAACAAAGTACATGTCGCATTTGTGGTCCGATTTGGATGAAATTTGGCACAGTTCGCTTATTCGTTAATGGTGCACCAAGGTCCCTATATATCCTTCGATTTGCACGAAATTTGGTACAGCATTCTGAATTAAGCCTATAAAGACGTGAGTTAAACTACCTGAAAATCGGTTCAGATTTAGATATAGCTCCCATATATATTTTCGTCCGATTTTAGGTAAATAGTGCACCACAGTCCCTATATATCCTTCGATTTGCACGAAATTTGGTACAGTGTAATGGATTAGGTATAGAACGATGTGTGTTAAATTTCGTGAAAATCGGTTCATATTTAGATATAGTTCCCATATATCTTTTCGTCCGATTTTAAGTAAAGACTGCACCAAAGTCCCTATGTATCTTTCGATTTGCACGAAATTTGGCACAGCGTACTGAACTAAGTCTAGAACGATGTGTGTTAAATTTCGTGAAAATCGGTCAAATTTAGATATAGCTGTGTGTGTTAAATTTCGTGAAAATTGGTTCAAATATAGATGAAGCTCCCATATATGTTTTCGACATGGTGCACCAAAGTCCCTATATGTCCTTCGATTTGCACGAAATTTGGATTTTTAAGTAAAAGAAGAACTCAAAATGTGGCCGAACATGTGACAAGTTTCGATGAAAT